TGTGTGTTTCTGCAATGCCACAATAAAAACTATAAATTGAAAAAGAGAAATAGATAACCAAATGGTACATGTCCTTAGCTCCCCAAAGCTAAGGGCATGTACCATTTGGTTATCTATTTCTTTTTTTCAATGTATAGTTTTATAGTTTTTAAACCTCCAGATACTCTACAACTGGAACTTTCATGATTCTGGCATTCCAAAACCAAGTTCTAGCAAGCCTTGTGAAGTGCAAACTAGAAGCAAATGTAATTATTCTTTATGCACCTATAGGTCCACCTAAATCTATTTTTTTTTTTTTAAATCTTACTTATTAAGCTGTGTCAGAGCCCTTTGATTTTTTTATTTTGTTGGTGAACATTTCAAAATGTACAGAAGCTGGGAATTGCATGGAGCATTGGCAGAGAAAGCTTGATTAGGTGACTTCATTTAAGTTCTTTATGGAGAAAAAGGGAGAAAACTCCCCACTTTAGTAAACCCTAGTATCGTCATGTATCCTGTGTACTGATCACCACACATTTTAAGGAAAGAATTCTCCTCCCTTTGCTCCTCCCTATCACAACCACACATGGACCATACCTTCCCTGCCCTACAGGCCTTCTCCCCAGCTACAGAACAGGAGATGGCCTCACTTCTCCTTTCCTCTCATCCCTCCACCTGTCCGCTTGATCCAGTACCTTCCTACATTATCAGATCTCTCTCTGTCTTGTACCATCCTTAAAACATATCCTAAATTGCTCTCTTTCAACTGGTGTTGTCATTACTCCCCTTAAGCATGCTACTGTCGTACCCATCCCTAGACCCGCCTATCCCCTCCAACTATCGTCCCATATCCCTGCTTCCACTAATTCTTCTTGACTCTCTGCTGCCTTTGACATTGTTGATCATGTCCTCCTCCTCTAAACTTTTCAATCTCTCTGCCTCTGTGACACTGTCATTTCATGGTTCTCCTCCTATCTCTCCCAATGCTCGTCCAGTGTCTCCTTTTGCAATGACACCTCCTCCTCTTGCCCTGTATTTGTTGGAGTCCCGCAAGGATCTGTTTTTGGTCCCCTTCTGAATCCTTTGGATTCCGCTACCATCTGTATGCCAATAACACCCAGATATATCTCTCCTCCCCTGATCTCACCCCCGCGGTCCTGCAACATGTCACTGCTTGCCTTTCTTCTATTTCTGATTGGATGTCCTCCCGCTTTCTGAAACTCAATCTCTCTAAAACTGAGCTTCTTATTTTTCCCTTTCATAATGCTGATCTTCCTCCTTCACTCTCCATGCAAGTTGATGGTACTTGTATCAGTCCATCCTTGCAAGCTCGTTGTCTTGGTGTTATCTTTGATCCTGGCCTCACCTTTGCCCCACATATCCAGTATGTTGCTAAAACATGTTGATTCCACATGGCGATCCTTACACTGGCTTCCTGTCCTGTACTGGTGTCAATTCAAAATACTAACCCTTACCTATAAACCTCTTACTAACTCTAGCCCCTTTTACATTTCTTCCCTGATTCATAGATATGCCCCTTCTCGGCCTCTTCGCTCTGTCGGTGACCTTCTCCTGTCTGCTGCTTGCACCCTTACTGCTCGTGTTTGCAGGAAATTTCGGGGGTGGCTCCTTTCTTTTGGAACATCCTGCCTACCTCCATCAGAATCTCCCTTAGCCATTGATTGTTTAAGTAGTCCCTCAAAACACATCTGTTCAGAAATGCTTATGGACTCCCAGAGTAACTATCTATCTATACTTACCCAAGTCTGTCTCTTGCTCTCCTAAAGAACATTACTTAATTCTCATCTCCATTTCTGCTTCTTTTCCACCTTGTTTGGTGGCTGTCACCCTTGCTGCCCTGTTGTGTATTTGTACCCCACCTCATCTAGACTGTAAGCTCTTTTGAGCAGGGTCCTCATCTACCTATTGTTTCTGTGTCACTGTGTAAATGTCTCATGTATTGTAATGTCTCATGTAAATGTTTCATAATATTGTAAAGTGCTGCAGAATTAGTTGGCGCTTAACCCCTTAAGACCGCAGGGTGTTCTATGCCATCCTTATTTAGATGGCTCTAAAAGCTGCAGGGCAGCATAGAATTCCCTGCGATATTATGTACTTACCCGGTCGCCGGCGGTCTCACGCCGGCGATCGCGGTATGTAGACTCACCAGGGATTCCCCCTCCGTCCTCTTCGGCCCCCCTGGGCCATGTGATCGCGAGGTCCTTGCGAGGACCTCGAGATCACATGGACGGCATAGCCGTCCAAGGCAATGCCAGCAGGGGGAGTGCCTGTAATGACAGGTACTCCCCCTGTTGTCTGGGAAAAAAAATAAACAATTTAAATCAGTTGAAAATTAAATTATATATACTTAGATCATATATATATTTATATAGCTAAGTATATATATATACACATATACACACACATACACATAAATACACATACACTGTCTATGTGTACTTCAATATTAATAAGTACACATACAATGATATTGATTAAATATATTTATAATATGATATATATAGCCACTTCGTCACAATATGTAGCCACTTCATCACAAACACTGGCCAAAATTGGTGTTCAAATTTGTTTTTTGCATTTTCAAATATTAACACTAACTTTGGCCAGTGTTTGTGACCAAGTGGCTACTAAAAAAGACTGGACTTACCTCATTTGCAATACCTTGGGTTGTCTACTTTTGCAAATGGTATGCCATCATGGGGGTAATTCTTATTCCTGGGCTACCATATGGTCTCAAAGGCAACGTAACCAATCTGGTGAATTTCAATGTGAAAAAAATGAAAAACTTAAAATGCTATATTTTACCCTGTAACTTCCCAAAACACCATAAAAACTGAACATAGGGGGTACTGTTTTACACGTGAGATATCGCTGAATACAAATATGTGTATTTTATTGCAGTAAAAGCAAACAGTATTTTGACATTCACAGTTAAAAGTCACGTAGAACTAAGAAAATTTAAAAAAATCTTATTTTCTCCCATTTTTTTATATTTTATTAATATTAAATTATTTTCCATACCTAAATATTTGATGTTAAATGAAAGCCCTGTTTCCCCTGAATAAAATTATATATGATAAGTGTGCATTTAATATGAAAGAGGTGAATTACGGTTGGACAGACATATAGCGCAAATGCCAGGTTTTGTTTACGTTTTGTTTTGATCACTCGTACATTTGGCTGCGGTCTTAAGGGGTTAATAAATACCAATAATAATAATAATAATGTTGTATCAACTTTTAGGGCCCCAAAACAAATTCTTGAACAATTACACAAGGTCAGCAACTCTGCACCTGGCAGAGCTGCAACCCACATGGCTAGCCCACAGGACCACCAGGGAAAACACTGAACTACCAGTGAATCGATTACTGCCTTCTCCCTGCCCAGGAGGGGGGCAATGAATACAAAAAAGGTATTACATTGTGGAGAGGCTGATCACTGAAACAGCCTCCCCACACATTGTCATCCTCTCCTTACCATCACTGCAGTACACACAAAAGAGTATAATTGGTGTAAGAGCCCCATGTCTCATTCAGTGGCCACAATATGACACAATATCCTTCTAATCAACATACTGTACACAGTATGTATTTTTCTTATTTTTTATTTTATTACAGCTAGGGGTATCCAAATAGCTTTGAAATTAACTTTGAATAAATTTTAAATTCCTGAAGATTCCCATTTTATTGTAAGAGATAACATTATTGATGCATGGTGCTGTATTGACACTTGCTGGAATGAATATATACACTTTTTGGCACAAGAACAGACTTGGACTCCTGTAGTAGCTCTGTTCTGTGACAGTTATTGAACCTGTTCCAGCATTGTTCCCAAGATGTGCTCCTGTTTGCTTCTATTCTTGATTCATAAGTACCACCTTGCTGCATTTTCATTTTAAATTCAGGACAATTCACACTTTAGCAAGCACTGTAAGTGACCTTTGTGTCAAATGTGTCAATATAGTGCCCTGTAGTGAAATCACATGAACTTTATAGAAGAGGGCCCAGGTTATTAATTGATACCTGGACAGCGAAATGTGCTAAGATGGCACTAAGGATATTGCAAAAAGCAGATTTATTGGAACAAAGGAGCAATTGTCCTATTCACAATTGCTCAACCTAAGTGAATATTTAGTTAAACTAAAGTCCGGAGGTAGTCTGTCACTGGTACATGAGCAACAGGACCCCTCACACATACACACACACACACTGCCCTCCCCTCCATTTATAAACTGCAACCATTACACACACTGCACCCATCAAACACACACACACACACACACACACTGCACCCCTCACAGCAGTCTGTGTATTTAGCAGGCCGTGTGAGTGTAAAAAATTTAAAAAATAAAGTGCGCTGTGTTGTCATTTTTAGCAAGGCTTCCTCATCTATTTCATCTGCCACCGTGTGCATGCATTTCCTATACATAAAAAAAACTCAAGAACACAACCTACATAAATTAATTACCCCATTTTGTCTTATGTACCCCTTCCTAATATCTCAATATTTTTTATAGTTTAGTATATTTTATTATAAAGTATGTTATGAATTGCCCTATTTGATATGTTTCCTTATATTATATGTATTTGGCATTTGATCTTAATATGGTTGTTCCCTATTACATTTTTTATAATTCTCTATATGCCCATTTTTTTCCCCATACCCATATTATTGTAATCAGCTTGTATTTCTGTTTCTCCAAATATTACTATACTTTAGATATATACATTTTCATTTATTGCCATGTGCTTTAATTTCTATTGATTTATAATAACTGTATACACTTAATTTATATTAGTGATATACTAATTATGATTTGATTTTACTTATTAATAGCTCTAAATTTAGAGAGAGATCTTTATTTAAATAAATGTGACAAACTTGTTTTTTGTTGTTGTTTTTTTTGTTATGAAGTGTTATGCTATTTTTAGTAGGTCTTCCTACTCTAGTTTCTCTTCAGCATTCACAGACAGTTTTTGTCATGTTTCATATCACTGTGTCATCCATTAAGACTTGTATAGAACTTAACACAGTGATACAGTGAAGTATCTGTAATATCTGTGTTTTTAATAATCAATTGATATTCAGTTCCTGCGCTGTTTATTGAGCCAGTGTAGTGAGTTGAGGACATATCTGGTCCATACACAGGAGATTGGTATGAGTGATAGTTTTTGAAAATGAGCTTTGGAGGCTCACCCTCTGATTGTTTAAGGAAAGCCATTGAATTGGAATCCTTGACTCCTACGATGCAATTAAAAGTGAAGCTTTGTCCAGAACCAACAGATGCAACTGGAGGACTTAGTACTGGCGTCTGAGAGCGAACATCTGTAAAGATAGAAAGGATTAAACTCTGTATTTATTTAAAACAAAAAAAAACATGATTAGAGAATATTTTCCTTAACTTACATGACATCCACAGAAATACACAGCATAACAATGTCTGCAACATCATTAGTTTTGAGTTAAGTTTCAGCTCGGTTAGAATCTCACTATGGAAGCTACTATCCTGTAAAATATTATTATTGAAGTTCAAAATAAATAGCTTAAGCAGAAGTAGTAATGTCCCCCTTTGTGAACATGCAAATATCATGCAAAAACACATATATTAATAACTTTAAATATAGAAAACAAGACGGTGTTAAGAAGCATATCTTGGCAACTGAAAGTAAACACCTACATATTATTTCTCCAATACAATAGGGGGGGGGGGGGGGGGGGTTAAAGGGGTTAAAGCTGTGTCTGTCATGAATGTTTCATACAAAGTTATTCAAAGTGAATTAAAAGTACAAACTAGTTCAGCTGGGAAAATAAAATACTAAATCAGCAATTTTTTCAGCTCAGCTACTTTGGCCGTAGATTTTAAATTCACCTTGAATTCTCACTTTAGTGAATAACCGTGATAGTGTTGGTTCCTCATTCTTCTCATTCATTCACTAAACACCGTATTGTAGCCAGTTAAAGGGACACTCTGTTGCCCATATTTAAAAAAAATCAAAAAAGAATCACTGATTTCAGTGTTTGGAGATTATATAAAACTCTAACATAATACAATGTAAGAAAAATATTACTTTGCTGCAGATGAATTTAGATAGAATAGGGGACTGGGCACTCCCACGGCAGATTAGAGTTAATGTAGATAAATGCAGAGTTATTCACTTCAGCTAAAAGAAGCACAAACAGTTTACATTTTTAAACAGTAGTGAATTAGGGATAGCACATAAGAAGATTCAGGAATTGATATAGTCAACAAACTATCAGCAGTTGTTACGGTATTGTCATGTATAAAAGGGGCATTCATTCTCTGGATGAGAGTATCATTTTGCCTCTTTATAAATCAATGATGCACACCTTGGATATGCTGTGCTATTTTGGGCACCTGTTCTAAAGAAGGATGTTATGGCACTAGAAAAAATGCAGAGGCGGGCTAAAAAATTAATAGAAGGAATGGAACATTTTAGTTTTGAAGAAAGGTTAACAAATTGAAATCTGTTTAGTGTAGAAAATTGGCACATCAGAGGGGATATGATAGCATTATGCAAATATATTTGGGGCTAATACAAACCATTTTTTGGAAATTTATACATAAACAGGACTGTACAAAGGACATGCTGTCACCCACTCAGACTGGAAGGAAGTCTAAGGAAAATGGGCTTTTACAGTAAAAATAATGAGAATGTGAAATTCTATGCCTGAAGAGGTGTTTTTTTATCACTGTATGTACAGATATTTAACCCCTTAAGGACACATGACGTGTGACATGTCATGATTCCCTTTTATTCCAGAAGTTTGGTCCTTAAGGGGTTAAACAGCAACTAGTTGAATGCTTACAAAAATATAATATTCAGATATATCATTTTTAATATGTGGAGTAATAGCGTCTTGATCCAAGGAGAGATCAGACTGCCATTCTGGATTTTTTTTTTTTCCAACAGCAAAAATAGATGTAGGAAAGGCTGAACTTGTTCGATGCAAGTTTATTTTCAGCATGAGTGTTCTGCTTTCAGATCTAGTAGACACCGGGCCTTGGTGTTATGTGATGCTTATGTGTACACAGGGTAAACCGAGCATTTCTTCTCCTAGTCTCTGCTTCCCTGGTGTATCTCATCAGTTTGGCTGTCAGTGCTGTGTGGCTTTGCTTGGTTGTTTCCAGAGCCTTTGGTACAGGCTCTTATATTTCCTTAGTATCCAGAATCTATCCGTTGTTTTGCCTCCTTTGTGAAGTTGATCCAGCTCTTTGTGTGTTGACTTTTTTGGCTTCCAGTCTTACTCTCCATTGGGGTACCACTAATGATGTGACATATATGAACTTATTGGTCTCTGTAATGGTGGTGGTTGGGATTGTAGATCAATGCATCAGCAACCACAGCTAGCATACTATCTGGGGGAAGTTTTCCAGTAATCTTTGGTTAGTCATGTCCTGTGGTCAAACTATATATAGTTGGGCCATATTTGGGCAGAGATGCATGTTGGCATCTGACAGAGCTTGTTAATCAAGGGGACGTCTGAGTTGGCATGACTATCTTGGTTCGTGTTATTCCCACATCATTTAGGAAATATAACTGTAACAAGGTTCATGTGACCTGCACCGTGACTATCCACGTTGCTTCTCTTGGTTTGTGTGGCTCTCTTATCATTGAGGTAGATGGATATACTTCATATTGCTAGATGTTTTGCCTATTGCCACTGCTCTGTCTAGACAATTGTTCTAGATCTCTAATTTCTCTCCTTCCTCCCACCCCACTCCTCCTTATACTACTTTTACATGTTCTGCTCCCCTGTTGTTTTATTTATTTTTCCTATTATCTATTCCCATTTTCTTCCCCCCGTCCCTCCCCCCTTTGCTCTCCGCCTGTTTCCAGGCTCCCATACCAATACAAAAGGGCAAAAACATCATGTCCTGCATAATGCAGAATGAACCTGTCAAACTCTGTCAATCCATAGCAATGTCTGTCTATTCTTGTACTAGCTACATTATCTAGCCTGTTTTTATTCCTAACATGTACTTTCTCACGTAAAGTCAGATATCCCAGCTAGTTAACCCATTTTTTTTTATGCTCTGAGTTTTACTTTACTCTTATAAATATTATCTGTTTCACGCCTACCGTGTTACAACGGCCACTCTGCACTATACTTCTCTTGTCTTCCATCCTTTATAAAAATGTGCTGATGTATATATACACTTTAGCAAATACATATTAGAATATGTTTTTTTCTTTTCATCCAAATCAGTTATTTTGCAAAACCTTTACAAAAGAATGAGTATGTGCCAATAACTACCTGCACACATTAAAAGTTGTGCGTGTTCACTTACTTGGTAACACTGGAAATATTCTCACTAAAAATGTTACTATTTATCTGATATTTGTTACGTGCTTAACATATGTCCATAAATATAGCAAAACTAACATTTTGTTTAAAAAGCTCTGTAACTTCTGAGTATTTCATATATTTTATGAAATATTTAAATTGATTGCTTTGGGGTTTCATTGAAATCCCAATACAGTCAAAGATATCGAAAGGACTAATTTGTCTTATGGGCAAGCCTGAGGTTGTCAAACCACATTTCATCAAACGCTTATCACAAGCAATGTCTCTTGGAATCAAGTATTGGCATTGTCCCACTCATTGCAAGACATGACTTGTGGAGGCTCCTGCAGTTTTATAAGTTCCTTCAGAAACCTCAAGTATTACACATATGTGCAACAATACGAGCTGAGGTCCCTAGGAAGATGATGGCAGCATCTGTGAAAGATAGCTTCAGGTAAGCAGGGCTGAAAAGTTCCACTCCCCAGAAGTAATAATTTAGTTCTGGCAAGTAGAGAATCACACCTTGTAAATGTGTCATGGAATCTTCAGTCTTGCAGTGGTAAGTATCTTTAAAGGCCAGTATCACACGACTTCAAACTATAAAGCTTGAGGTATGTATAACTTTTCATTGCACTCTGCAGCCACTGCCTCCTTAGTAGAGATGTCACCTTTGGTAGTCTTTGCAAAAACTTTATAAGCTGTATGAATAAGCTGTTAGCAGGGAAAACATCAGACGGATGTCTTAGGGACAATCACAATTTTTACTTTAAATATCCCAAATAGTGCAAGAGTTTAACAGGATAAAACGTTCAGCATCCTCCTGATCAGGAAGTAAAATGCTTGTTTTACATATGGCCTCCGAATAGAACACACGTTGGAACACACAGCATCATCGCGCATGTAGCGCAATGACGTCACCAAA